TCAAATGCTCTGTTTGTTTTTTAGAGGATTCGTGAAGATATTCATATGGTGAGCAATGGCAGAGTAAACTGCGCTGGTAAATTTTATTGCGAAAAAAGGTATACTCAATTATGAAAAAAGTACTCAAATTTATAAAAATCTATTGCGTGACGATTGTAGGTTCTGAACGCATTGTCTGATCCGAGGGTTTAAATGCCTAGAAAATTACGGACCAGGCAATAAGTCCAGCAACTATCTCAATCAATCGTCAGCTATGGAAAGATCGGGTTCCAAAGGCTGGATCCCTTGTGAATCAAGTCACGAAAAATTCAAGAATCGGCAACAGGCCATGGGTTTATTTCTTCAGTGCCGACACTTCTATTCTATTCGATTCTATTCTAAGACATTCTTTGTAACTGGAAGTCTGAGAGAGAGACCTTCCTCTTCCACTGCTCTACTGCGATCCAATATACTCGTACTTATTCAACTGCAAACTGCAGTTGCGTGCACAGCTCGTAACTGTGTGTGTGTTGGTAATGAATAAAACGGTGCAGCACAGCACTCCATAAAGTAAAACTGGAAGGTTTTGCGTGATTGCAATGAGCAGTTGCATTTCATATTGATATTACGTCTCCCAGTATTTGAGTATTCTCATCCCAATCTTGATACATGACTTGTGTTCGCAGACGCCATGGTGACGGTGGGTGACCGGCTACTCAACCCGTTCAACATCGAGAACGTCGTACGCCCCATCAACTTGCAGATCTCTGACGCAGTCATGAACTTCCAGCTTGCCGGTGCCAATATCTCCAACATGGTGCGTAACTCTTCCATTAACTGCCTGCATCTGCTACTTTGTGTGTCGTAAATTTTNGGTTGTCGCCACGTACGATAACTTTAAAATGTTCTCTGTTGCGTACAAACGTCCTCAGGTTGCTACACTCAATAGTTTACGTATAATTGTCTGTTCCCGGAGAGTGACATACGGCGGTAGAAGGTTAAGGTAATTTCTCGCATCGCTTTATGCAGGTACCTGGCGTGTGTGCTCACCTACATGGATTCTCTTCAACCGTTCGGCGATGTGCCGGCAAAGTTCGGTGGCAGCATCAAGAGGAGCTTCGTGGCACTGCGCACCTTCGTCAGAGGCCTCAACACCTCCACCAGCGTCGTCAACAACCTCCTCAAGGTGGCTATCATCGGGATAGATGATAACAAAAGAATTCCATTTGCTAGGGTATTCAAAAAAATCTGGGTATCGTACTTCGCTTCTATCATGAATAATGTAACGTAACATTTTAATTTAGTTTAATTTTGTCCTTGGTCATATGACTTACAGTAAGAAAAGAATATTGAGCCAGTTACTGTACTATTGAGGATCAAGAGTCTTATTTAGTTTCCTATCTCTTCTTTCACGTAAATAAATAACTTCTCCGGTAAATCTCTCAGTCGCTCTGCCGCATTAATATTTCACAATCTATTTCCAAATTTTGATTCGCTCAATTCTTCCTTAGTACTCAATCGTCATGTTCAACAAAATTAGCTTCATTTCGAATTGTATTTTCATGTATAATTGTTGATATTGTGACTCGCGTGACTCAGGTGAACCCGTCGGTGTCGTGCGTGCGGGAGCTGATGCGCCTGACGCACTGCAGTACGTGTCAGGGACTGCCTGACGTGCGGCCGTGTCTGCCGTACTGCCTGCACGTCCACACGCACTGCCTCCACCACCTGCAGCAGTTCTCTGCTGACTGGAAGAGCTTCGTCGGTGAGCTTCAACTTTGTGGCCGATTCTATCGGGCGACCAATGGATACGTGTTATATTATAAGGAAAA